GGGTTTTTTAAAAAAAAAAAAAAAAAAAAACCACAAACCAAAAAAACCCCAAACACAAAAAAAACCAGAAACTACAGCAGCATTACCAGCTGTTTGTTTTGTTTTGTTTTTTTTTTAATTAAAAAAGAAGGATCAGGTTGAACTTTAATCCAGTAATTATAAGGCCAACACCAAAGTATGTAAGACTAACTTTGTCAGTTTGTTTTATTACTGGGCACAGCACCGTACCACTTCATATACATACAAGCCCCAGTAATACAAACATTCCCTATCCTTTTTTTTTTCTTTTTAATAATAGAAACCCCACATGATATTTGGGAGCAATCAAATGTCCCAGGGATCAGCTCTCAAGAGCCATTTTGTTGCACTAGCAGCAGTTTTCTTACAAAATACTATGGGTTTTCATGCTGTTAATACATGAAGCTGGAAAGTCGGAGCTTGCAGCAGCGCCTCTGCTCAACACAACCTAGGCAGGCTTCTCAGTAGCTCAAAGGCTTGCAAATACGCTCAGTCACAGTCCTTTGAAGTCAAAGGAAAGCACACCAGACAGACACCCAGGTACAGAACAAGAATGCTCCAATGCTTCTACAGAAACCCACGTTATCCTGAAGCACCAGAGGTTTATCCAGTGCAGGGCTAGGTAAAGCACTGCTGCACCCTGACAGCTGTCCTGCAGGCAGCCCAGGCTTCCCACGCAGGCAGGGCCGTTTCTGACAGACTCTGTTAAGTCTGTAGCAGCACAAGGTCAGCGAAGCTTGGAGAAAAGCTTCTGTCATTAAAGCAGGCTTAGCTCCTCAGAAAACTGATTTAAAACTAGAAGGCACAAATGCAAGGTTGAATGTGGGCTACATACCACTGTGGCACGTGAGCAGTTTAGATAACCCCCTAAGGGGAAATACAGCACATAATAAATACAGTATGACATTTTAGAAAATAAGTGCATTACTCCGACCCTTCACAACATAAGGAAGTAGGATCCAAAGAGCCTACAGAGGCCAGTTCACTTAATATTGCACAGAAGTCCTGATGTGTAACGTCAGGTTCTATGATTCTATCCTTTTTTTTTTTTAATCATCATACTGGAGGTTGGACTTGGCAGGGTTAAAAAAAAAACAGAAAACCAAAAAGGAGGTCTTATTTGGCAGAACCTGCCCAAGTCTCCACCACCACACAAACTACTTTTTGCCAATCTGAGGTAGAAGTACATATATACTGCTTAAACCCAGTTAAGTCCTGCTCAACTAGTCTTTAAAGGAAAAAAAAGTGCACAGAATAGATGAGCCTCTCTTCTCTAAAGAAAGCGATTGCTTCAGGTTTGACCCCTGGAAGCAAGTCTTACAAAGTTCCAGCGAAGATCCCTGCTCCCCACCTGGAAAGCAGTGATGGCTATCGTGGTGCTACAGGTAAGGAGTGTAACAGGTACTAATTGCAAGTCTTACAGCAAGCGTGTTTTACTCCGCTTCCTCCCTCCCCTACTACTTGCTAATTCTCCCTTTATTCACTCAGTCCAGTATATTTTATCAGTTAAGATAGTCCCCATTGCTTCCTTTCTCCCTTATATCCCTTCTACTGGTACCCTGCAAAAAAGTTTTCTATTTCAACTCTTAGACTTCTGAGGAACATTTGCAGTTTCTTCTAGAGACTCCTCTGTGCGGTATAGGCACGGAAGGATGGAAATAAGAGCCTCTTCGATGGAGAAGAGATGTTTATCCTCTGCTTGAGGACAAAAGTAGCGCATAAAGTCTGCCAGTCTCAGCAGGTACTCAATGTTATGACCAGCACAACCACTTGAGACAATGATTTGAGCCGCAATGTCTTCTTCAGATGCTGGGCCGAGGTAAGAAGGGTTCTGAGGTGTTGCAATGTACACAAGAGCCAGGATGGGTTCCTCCGCATCTTTCTCCTGAGGGTGGAACTTCACCAACTTGGTGTCGTAGCCTCCCAGGACAGCTTCTCGCATGTTGAGATACTGGAGAGATGCAGCAATTTGTTCCCCACGGACTTCATAGGCTACACCCCACGTGCATGCCTAAAAGTGAAAGGGCGAGGTGGTCATGGGATGCTGGAACTGCAGTGGACAAGTCCATCAACACTTCAAAGCAAGCCTGCCTCGCTTTAGGGTCTCTGTGCAACCGGTAACAGGGCAGAGGAGGAGGACAACACCCACCCCCCCA